AAAGGAGTGAGCTATCCAGGGGTGGAGCCCACTTCCCTGATAAGGTCTTGGGCTGGTCACCCCGATCTCATGCTCTTCTCTTCCTTCAATCACAGGTAAAGTGGTGGAGGATGAACCACATTGAAGAAAAAAGACAGGAGTGAAGTGGCCCAGAAAGCAAGGATGGAAGGGGCAGCTAAGTGGTGCAATGACTAGAGCACAGGAGTCAGGAGGACCTGAGTTCAAATTTGACCTCAGACACTTAACAAACACTAGCTGCATAACCCCGGGCAAGTCACTTAACCCCATTGCCTAGCTAAAAAAAGAAAAAAAAGCAAGGATGGACAGACACACACACACACACACACACACACACACACACACACACACACACACACACACACGAGTGCACCTGCGCCCACATTTTGAAAAGTCATCTCACAGAACACAACACACTCCCTGGGATGAGGGGCTGGACAAGTTTTCAGAGTCATCAGAATGCTCAGCTGAAGGGAAAAAGAGAAAAAGAAACTAAACTGCTTCCCTTTGACATCCAGAGGAAGATGGGCCCGGGGCAAGTCACCCAGGCCTCAGGACTTTTGTATGTATGGTCCTGTGGCATTAGATTCCGGCTATCTGAAGACCAGTGTGGGGATAAAAATTATACAACCTACAATAAGAGAAACTGAGGCAGAGCTCTGTGCCAATGGCACTTTATTAAAGGGTCCATGATCCCCTCTAATGAACTAACTGGACCTCAGATCTTCCTCACGATCTGAGATATCCCCTCCTTCCAGGGCCCTATTTTTATAGGGCTTGATATATAAACATTCAAGAACAGCCATATCAGATACAGAATAATTCCACTGGTTGATAAATGATGCATAGGCTAAAATAAGGAAAAATAATTTGTCAGCAAGGTGAAGCAAAGAAAGTCTTCGCTGACTAGGTGGTCATAAGGTGGTCATAAGACGAACGCCTGCTCATGTTGGACAAGAGAGAATGGCCAGGAGGTAGAAAAATAATTTGGGGGACTTTCCATGTAGTTGAATCACCTCTGTCACATTGGGCTTGGTCACCATGACAAGGAAAAATAAGGGTGGAGGGCCTCGAATTAACTTGCTATGATTATGCAGCAGCTCTGGGGCAAAACATATAGAACTTATAATCATATCAAATTGATTGATACTGATTGGAATAGAGTCAGGGGTCTTCAATGAATCAACTTCCTCATTCCTCCCTTTGATCCACAGGAAGACCCCAGTCTTTGTCAAAATTGCTTGAAGAGTTTTCATAAAGATTTCCAAAATCTGTGTGTAGGGCAGACAAGGCTTGCAAACAGCCACCCTGTTATGGAGATGAGACGCAACATTCCCGCAGACAACACAAACAGATCTTGAGGGCTGTGGCATGGGGAGTGGAGGAAAATAAGGAACAGGCTGAGTTCCATGAACAAAGGACTTATCCGTATTATCAGCCAATGCTGTCAGTGTGGAGAAAAAAACCAAAAAAAGGAGTAGTCAGGGTTCCAGTCACTTACAGGCCCAGGAACAGGTGGATTAGGAACCATTTGTGGAGAGGATGATGATGACAAATGTGTCTTGCTTACTCGTCCTATCTCATACACTTGTCCAATCTTTGAAACATCCTCAGATGCAGTCCTGTGGTTCTATGGAGATCTCTCCTCTTAAGGCTACTGGAATAAGTGGGGCTTCATAGACGCTTTTAGTGGATTTGCTTCTCCATTTCAGGGCACTTGCAGAGAGCCCCTTCTCTGTTACAAATCTCTAACAAAATAGATCTGAATACAATTCTAGTTTTCTGCGACATTAACCAGGTCAGATATGAACATCACTAGACCAGAAAATGTACATGTTTAGCTTGGCAAATTCAAATAACAACTGAAAAAAAAAATTCTGAACCTAAGTTTTATATTTGGCATATATAAGTACCCGATCTTATTACAACTATTTGTTAAAACCAACTGGAAAAAAAATTTAATCTAGCTATTTTCCTTTCTAACTATTTTCTTTTAGCTGCTCACCCTCCCCAAGGAGGATGAGATTTTTCTAGAGATTTATTAACAGAATACTTTTTTAAATAAGATAATGACTTCTGATACACAACTGAATTCATTAAAATTTGCCAAAATAATTGGGATTGTAAGAAAAAATTCTGGAATGGGGTGTATAAATGCATTTAGTAGTCAAGTTTCAAGCCCATGCAGATTGAATAAGTTATTTATAGTAATACATGTTTGGCTTTCAAGACCTACTCAACATTCAGGTGGTAATAATAAACCCAAATAAAATTGGCTTTTCCCATTTAGATAATACAAGATATTCTAACATCCTTTTCTTCAGACCAAAATTGAAGATGTTTCTGTTTTAGGCTTAATAACTAATAGAACAATAATTTGATCCCATAAACTTTTTCATCAATACTAAATTGTCCTCACATTAATTTTAGGAAGGACTAGACTTTTAGGCCCCAGAGGAAAAAGAGGCAACCTCTTCTTTCCTGTCTACTGTCTTTAGAAAGTGAGAATTAGAGGTTTTTAACCTGCAGTGAAAAGGGGCAGCATGTATTCAACAAGAAGGTGATGTATAAATCAAATACCCATTAAGAAGAAAAAAGTAACACACCAAGGCTTGAGACGTAGTCTGGCACTTTAAAATAATAGACATTTGTGTAACACTTTCAGTAAATGAATCGAATCTCTAATTGGAATTTCAGGAGGGGAAGTTTTTAGGCCGGAGACCTGCATGAGCTGCTAGGCTGGGCTGGGCTGTCTCAACCCTAATGAAACTCTCCCATTTTTAGATTCAGTTGATGCAGAGTAAAATTTTTTTCTAGACCCTCGTTTTTATTCTGTGCATCTCTTCATTTTTTAAATGCGTTTCTTCTTTTTTAAATAACTTATTTATTGTTTCAACATTTGCCTCCACAAGATTTTTTTGGGGGGGCTAGGCAATGGGGTTAAGTGACTTGCCTAGGGTCACATAGCTAGTAAGCTTCAAGTGTCTAACACGGGATTTGAACTCAGGTCCTTCTGACTCCAGAGCCAGTGCTCTATCCACTGTGCCACCTAGCTGCCCTTCTTCCATAAGATCTCGAGTTTTAAATTTTCTCTCACCCCCCTTTCTCCTCCCACCTCCCCAAGATGGTATGTGATCTGATATAGGCTCTACTTACACATTCATATTAAGCATATTTTCACACTAGTCATGATGTATAGAAGAATTAGAACTAATGAGAAGAACCATGAGAGAGAAGAAATAAGACAAAACAACAAAAGAAGAGGAGAGCCAATATTACGCTTCCATCTGCATTCAGACATGTAGTTCTTTCTGTGGATGTGGATAGCATTTTCCATCGTAAGTTGTGTTAGATCCTTGTATTGCCTAGAGGAGCTAAGTCTGTCAAAGTCAGTCATCAAACAACGTGGCTGTTACTGTGTACCATGTTCTCCTGGTTCTGCTCATTTCACTCAGCATCAGTTCATGCAATAAATGTGTTTCTCCTCAGTGACAGATTGTGGGGTTTTGCTGTCTTATTCTGTCACTCCATTTCATTATTGAATTGTTTCATCCGCTCACATTTAAAGTTATGAGAGTTAAATTTATATTTTTCTTTGTCTCTAATATTTTTCGTTTCCATATTAGAACTTCCTCCCTCCTTCTGTAAATGGTCTTTTCAGTTATATTAATCTATTTTAAGGTGCCATCTCCTCACCCTCAGGTTCCCATCCCTCCCATTTGTTACTCTTTTCCTAGTTTTGAAGTTTTGCCCAACTTATCAGTTCTTTTCTCTTTCTTCATTTTATATAGTTAATTCTTTCCCCTTTTTTTCCTCTCAAGTAAAATCTCCCTTTCTCCTCGCCCCTTCATTTTTTTTAGCTTTTAAAGTTTCATTTTTCTGCAATTAAAAAAGAGTTTATTTCTCTCCTCTGACTTCTTTTTACCTTCCCTTTGTGCACTCTGGACTTTCCCCCCTGGATTCATTGCCTCACTCTCACTGATCCCTTTTGAAATCCCCATTCTCCGGGGGCTGAAAACCCCTCAGGCTCCTGCTCTAGGGCTCTTCCTCTAAGTGGTTTCTGTGCTAAGCAGCCTTTTAGACTTTGCCCTTTGGCCCTGACTTTGCTTCGTTCTGTCGTGCCCCATTCTCTGAAATTCCAATTCTGGGCCCGCAGTAGAGGCTGTCCTGCGGAAGGGATCTTTCGATGTCCCTGCGTGCGCTGCTCATCGTCGCCCTTTGCCCTTCCGCCGGGCATTTCCCCTCTACTGTCCTTGAAAGGTCTCCGCCGGGACCCTGCCCTGCCATCCCGCTGGTGCACTGCTCAGGGGGGCTCGCACGCGACGTGCTGCAGACTGAGCTCCCTGCGGTCCCCCTCTCCCTCTGCGCCACCAAGCAGACGCATCCCCTCCTCCAGCCTCCCGCCTTCATCCCTCCCTGTGTCCCCTCTGTCCTCTCCCTGCACCGCCCCTTCGCGTGCCCTCTCACGGCGGCGTGCAGGCGGGGTGCTGCGGCAGAGGACCGGGGAAGACGGGGAGGGGAGAGGCGGGGAAGCGGGAGGGGCGGGGCTAAAAGGGGAGTGGGCGGGGCTAAGGGCGGAAGGTGCTGGCGACTGGACCCCGAGGACGGAGCAGGCGGGGATGCCGACGGGAGGCGGGGCTACAGCCTAGGAAGGCGGTGGGTGGGGCCGGGTTGCTCTCGGGGGCGGGGACTAAAGCCGGGGTGGGGGCGGGGCTAGGGCTCGGGAGGAGGAGGCGGGCTGCCGCCGGGCCGAGGGCGGCCCCTGGGGGGCGTGGACATCCGAGACAGGTAGCCGGATTGGACGGTGAGGGGGCGGGGACGTGACGCCGCCGGAGGGCGGCTCGTTGCCCGTTGCTAGGGCGGCGCGCGCCTGGCGACGGAGCGCCGCGAGTCCGCGCAGGCGCCGTTGTGGAGCGCGGTGCATTGTGGGATGGGCCGGCGAGCTCCGCGGTGACTGCGGCGGCGGAGGCGGGAGCGGCGGGGCCGGGCGGCGGCCTGAGGTGGCCGGGGTCGCCATGAACGCCTCGGTGGTGAAGCGCACGCAGGAGGCCCTGGGGAAGGTGATCAAGAAGCCGCCGCTGACGGAGAAGCTGCTGAGCAAGCCCCCGTTCCGCTACCTGCACGACATCATCACGGAGGTGCGGGCCCAGGCCGGGAGGGCAGGGGAGGCCCCGGGGCTGGGGGGAGGGGTCCCTCTGGGAGCTTCGGTGGAGGGGGGGGGACGCGGCACCGCGGGGCCCTCCCGCGTCGGGGAGCTCCCTCCGCTGTGCAGATCGCCGCTCACGCCCTCGGCGAGCTCGGGCGGCCCCTGGAGAGGGAAGGGACCCCTGCCCGCGCTGAGCACGCGGCGCCGGCATCTAGTAGGCGCTTCCTGAGTGCTGGCTGTGTGTCGGGACTGGAACCCAGACCTTGCTGGCTCCGCGCCCAGCTCTTGGCCGCCGAGCTGTCACCCTGCCCAGGTGACCTTGCAGCCTCCGCCGATGGGCGGCTCACCACCTCCCGCTGCACTAAGCGAAGCGTGGCTTCTGGGAGGGGGGAGGCCAGTGAGTACGAAGCACCTACTATGGGCAGGCACTGCCTAAGCGCCCGGGACAGGGAAGAGACAGCTCGCTTCTGGGAGGTGGGATGGAGGCGGTTCCAGATTTACATCTGGAAGGGACACCAGAGGTCGTTTCACTAGCCGGGAAACTGAGGCTCAGGGATTAAGTGGCATAGATCATGAGCTGGAGGGCCCTGCGGTGGAATAGATACAAAGTGGCCAATTGGGGAGGCTGAGAAGGAGGAGGAGGAGAGGCCCGAGGTGAGCGTGGAAGAAGGGGAGCCTGGGCAGAGCCCCGGCTGCGATGTGCTGGAGTCAGCCAGCCCCGGTGTGCTTTTCTGTACTTGAGACCCTTCCTCAGGTTTAACAGATGTTCGGTGGCTACTGAGAAGACCTGAGCCTTCCAGCTTCCTGAGGGTAGCTAGAACTGGTGCTTGCGTGTGGCGTGGGGGGTCCAGGGTCATCGGGCCACTTCACGTGGAAAGGCAAGGGACCATTTCTCCAATGCTGATTTTTTCAGCTTTCTAGTCTCCTACTTCAAAAGAATGTCAGGTTCTGCTGGATTTAGAACTTCATGGGCTGGGGTGGATAGGACATTAGGGTTTGTAGATGTTGCCATGGGAGGCTACCACGTTTCCTGATTCCTCTGCCAGGAGGATGGAGGAGGTGCAGGTGGAGGCCCATCTGATCTGCCTAAGCAGGAGTGCCCTTAGCCACCAGATTAAGGGCATCTCTTTGCTTTCAGATTCCTTAGTTAATACAAATATTCTCACGCTCACTGGTGCAAGCTTTCTCGATATATTTGTCAAAAACCAACTGAAGGGGGAAAACTGATTCTGAAAAATCATTTAATCTTAAGTGCAACTAGGATACTTTGAGAAATTAAAAGAAGTGTGACACGTCTGTCTCCCAAGTGTTACTGTCCGGGCTTAGTATTTCCATCACAAATATTCTACTTCTGTGGAATAGCCAGGCTTTAAAGTGAAGATAGAATTTTTGTTTGCATGAAGGAAATTAGAATTCTATGCTTGAACATCAGCCCCCAGAAAAGGACTAGCCCTGGGAAGACGAGTAAGTTTTGTACTTTGTGCAGCGCATGGCATGAGATGAACCAAAATATTCCCACATCGTCTGGGCTGGTTGATTGGTTTGTTGGGTAAAAGCAGTTAAAGAATTAATGAGTGCAAGTTTGATTCTAGTAGAGCTTTAGAAGTTTCTGTCAATGTCCTGCAGCATGTTTCCCAGTTTCAGGTTATCTCCATGTTTGGTAAATGTGCCATCTATTTCTTCATCTGAGTCATTGATAAAAATGGTAAACAGCCCAGACCCTCCACCAGAGACCTCCCCCTAAGTTGCCATGGATTCATCCATTAATTTATGCTGGCTTTGTTCATTCAATCAGTTCAAAATGCAGTTAACTGTACTGTCATATAGCTTGGGGATTCTCAACCTTTTCAAGTGTGAGGACCCCTTTTGTAAAAGAAAATATATATATATATATATATATATATACATATACATATATAGATACATCACATTAATATCAATTAAAAAATACACAATAAAACAACATTTAACTCACTGATATTTTAAAAATGAGTTTACATTTTATTTATAACAACACCATTCACATTTTTTGAGAAATAATACTTACATCTGCTTCTGGCATCTTTATTGCCATTATTGCCACCCTCGCCCAGTCAGTTCCTCTGGTTTGAGACATTAGAATAAACCTTGATTCTTGCTCGTATCCCTTAACCTTCATATTCCGATGTCCTTCACCCGGTACTAAATTCTATGGATTGTATCTGCAAAGTCTGCATTTGTCTGGTTCTCTGCTCATTGATTGAGAGCTCTGGATGCTCCTTCTGTCTTGGCCATTAACTCTGTGTGCTGTTGAGCCAGTCATTACAACTCCCTGAGCCTTGGTGTGCTCATCTTTAAAATGGACAGGAAGGGGATTGTATAAGGAATTAGCCTTTTCCTACTCAGCCCCAGAGGGGCAGCACTGGGGACCATTTAGGTATGTGACAAAGAGGAGAACTGAGATTTGATGTGAAGCTAAAGTTCCTAACAGCTGAAGCTTTCCCCAAATGGAGGGGCTGCCTGGGGAAGTGGTAGGTTCCCTTGTAGGAGAGGAAGTATTTGGGGATGTTATACAGTGGAGACAGTCTTGCCTAGGTACAGATTGGCCTAAGATTAGGTACAGATTCCAGATGGACTGGTTAAGTGGAGTGAGTATCCACACAAGAAATTCTCCTGTAGCCATAAAA